TTGGACTTTGTTTTGTTGGGCATTTTTGCTGGTGATTTTTGTTAGGCTTCTCCATTCCTTTGGATTTATCGATTTGGACTTCTTTCTGTTGGGCTGCTGGTTTGAATTTTCTTCTTTTCTTTGTTGGACTTTGTTTTGTTGGGCATTGTTGCTGGTGATTTTTGTTGAGCAACCTCAATCCTTTGGGTTTGTTGATTTGGGCTGGTGCTGATTTAGGCTTCTCTCTATGGGGCTAGTTCTGTTTGGCTATTCTTCTATTAATTTTGGCTATTACTATTTTGGGCTATTGTTACTTTGGCTATTTTTCTTCTACTATGCTTGGGTTTTGACTTTTGGACTGCTATTTGGGTGTTGGGTTGTTGGGCTGTTGAATTTTGCTTGAATATTGAGTTGTTTGTTTACTTTAATATTTGCTTTGGATTGCTAGATTTTGGTATTATGGCCAGTGAAAATTTTGATTCTCTTCAGGCAATCAGTGTTAGATTAAAATGTGAGAACTATGTATATTGGGCTTATGTTATAAAAAATTTCCTGTTGGGTAAGGAAATGTGGAGTTATGTTAATGGTGATTCGTCAGCTCCAACTGATCCTAAGGTCGAGAAATTTGTTGACTTAAAGAATGCTTGGAAATCAACAAGCTGATTAGGATAGGCCATAGAGACTGCATGTTTTAGAGGAGCTCCATGTTCCATAAGTTGCTACCTTTACTATTGATTTATCTCCTTCCCCTTTCTTTTGATTACTATGCAGCTAGTAGATTTCTTCACAAAGTCGCATCTTATCACTCGCTTTTGTTTTCTTCTTAGCAAACTCTTGATGTTTTCTGCTACCACATCATGAGTTTGAGGGAGGGTGCTAGAGTAGTTATCATATTTAGACTTAGGGGTAGCTTAGTTATTTTTTTTTCTTTTATGTTGCCCTAGCTTAGTCATTTGTTTTGTTGTTTTACTATATAAGGGCCTACATTATGTATTCTAGGTTAAGGAGAATTACAGAAATGTTTAGCAATAATAATATTCTTTCTTTCTCCTTTAGTTCTTCTTTATTTGATCAAAGTTTACATCTCTAATTACAGGTGCCCTGATGATAGGATAATAGTGGAGACTCTCCGTGCTTTTAGGATGTTGTCTTACCCTCCTCCTAAGAGGGCGAGGTTTGATGCTCTCAGTTCTTCTCGGTCAAGATCCGATGGCTAGGTTTCTTTTTGGGAACGGGATCCGGTGGTGCCCCCACTCTTTTCTATATTGGGACTTCTGTGTATACTGAAGCTAGCCCTGCTGTAGGAGTTGAGATTTTAGCGCGATCTTGCTACGGGGACTATAACTCCACACAACTGCCCTACTTCTAGTAGTGGCTCAGTGTCAATCTAATATAGTCCCGCGGGTTGCAGACGGTTTGAGCTTCAAAAGTGTGCCTGGCAAAAACAACATTATCCTAACTTTAAAATATCTAACATAATTACCTGGAGAGAGAGAGAGAGACAAGTTGTTTGCATGAGAGCAAAGTCAGAGCTGTCCCTTGAGAGGGCTGCATGAGCTGAGGCTGACCTATGTATAGTCTCGAGGAATGGCTGCCATGGCAGAGTCATGTAAAGAGACTACCTACGCGAGAGCAGAGTCATAGCCACAAATATCCCGTGAGAGGGCTGCAAGAGCTGAGGCCGAGCTACGTATAGTCTCGGGAGATGGCTGTCGTGGTAAAGGCTTACTAGGTGACTACTTACGCGAGAGCAGAGTCATAGCTGTAATGTTCCGAGAGAGGGCCATGGGAGCTAAGGCTGAGCTACGTATAGTCTCGGAAGATGGCTACCGTGGCAAAGACTTTTTAGGTGACTACTTGTGCGAGAGCAGAGTCATAGCCGCAAATATCCAGTGAGACGGATGTAGGAGCTGAGGCCGAGCTACATATAGTCTCGAGAGATGGCTGTTGTGGTAGAGGCTTACAAGGTGACTACTTGTGAGAGAGTAGAGTCATAGTTGCAAACGTCTCGTGACAAGGCTGCAGGAGCTGAGGCTGAGCTACATATAGTCTCGGGAGATGACTGTCTGGCAGAGGCTTACTAGGTGACCACTTGCGCGAGAACAAAGTCATAGCTGAAAAAGTCCCATAAGAGGGTCGTATGAGCTAAGGCCGAGCTACATATAGCTTCGGGAGATGACTGTCATAGTAGAGGATCATTCCGTTAAGATGGAGATGAGGAGGGAGCTAAGGAGATGGGCGCCTAAGACTCGGCTCCTGGTGTTGGGCGCTTGAGGCTAGGTGCCTGGTGTTGGGCTACTGTTGCCGGGTGTCTGCGGTTAGGCCTTTACATAGCGTCTGGTGTTGGGTGCCTAAGGTTGGGCGCCTGCTGAGAGGGTCACTGTTGATTTCTCTAGCTTTGTCCCCTATGAGGCACCAGTAGTAGTTGGTGACGGGGAGAGCCCTGATTATAATGGTTGTGGCTTAGGGAGCAATGACTAATCGTCTGGAGTATGACGACTATTGTTCTTTTGTCTACACCTTTGTTATTAAGCCATGTTCTGGCTTTTATAAGCTGTTTGTAAATTTTAGGAAATCAAGACAATTTGGACACAATAGTATTTGTAGTATTTTATTTCATAAAATAATAAATAACAAAATCAACTAAAACAATAAATGATAGCTAAAATTTTCAGGTGTTTTGTGTCCCATTGGTGGGCCAAGAATTTCTTGGCAGAGTTCGAGTCACCTCTTCCTCCTGCCTCTCAAGAGATCGTCTGGATTTCTCCGAGGGGTTGCCGGTGTTCTCTGTCATCTTGGTCCCGACTAGGTTGCGGGACTTATCCTCTGCTAGCAATGTACTGCCTCTAGTGGCCACGCTATGAGTTCCTCGATCTGCCTTTTAAGAACAAAGTAGTCGTTAGTATCATGGTCGTGGTCGTGGTGGAAACAGTATTACTTGTTCTGGCTCCTACTGTTCGGTGTAGTCTTTATCTTCTCTGGCCAACGCACTGCAGGATCATCCTGTATTTAAAACAAGATATGCTCCACAGAAGCATTGAGTTGCATGAAGGTTTGTCGCTCTCTCAGAGGTGGGGGGACCAAGGCGATCCTTGACAGAGTTTCTCTCTGTCCTACTTCTTTTGTTCTCTGCCTCTCTTTTGTCTTCGTAGGTGTCCTTCCTTTTCTCGCCCCTATGGGTGGACTCACCTCTTCTGGCCTTGGTGACATCCTCGGTGTTCATGTATTTCTGTGCCATAGACAACAGCTCGGGCATGCTAGAGGGTGGTTTCTTGAAGACGGAGAACATGAAACTAGAGGAGCGAAGACCAGAGATAGGCAATCAGGGCTATCTTATCATCTGGCTCCTTAATCTGGAGAGCCTCCTTGTTGAAACGGGTGAAGTAGTCTTTGAGGTTTTCAACTCTGTCCTACTTGATGGTGAGCAGTTGGGTCACAGGTTTGTGATGTCGATGTCCCCCAATGAAGTGGGAGACAAATGATCTATTCAGTTCTGCGAAGTAGTAGATGGTGGAGGGTTTGATCTTTGCGAACCCATGGCAAGCAGACCCCATCAAGGTGGTTGGGAAGGCTCTACACATAATCTCCTTAGGCACGTTGTGGAGTTGCACGAGAGATTTGTATATATCAAGATAGTCGAGGGGGTCCCTTATACTGTCGAATATCTTGATGGTAGGCATCTTGAACTTTGAGGGCAAGGAATAGTTGACTATATCAACAATGAAGGGTGTATCGGTGCGTCTTACCAGATAGTCCATTGTCTCGGGCGCCTGTGCCTTGATGGCGTTGAGGGTATCACCGAGTTGATTTTGTACCTCTCTGATCTTCTCGTCCTATTGGTTGGGGACATCCTCCGTTGGGTGGTGGTACTAGCTTCCATGATCGTCATATTGGCTCTCTCCTTCGTCCTCATGTGCAAGTACATGGGGAAGGGGAACAAGTGAACTCCCTGTGCACTGAGGACGGACTGCAGGGCGAGGGGCACTCTGGAAAGGAACCCCATGGCGGGGTGCTACTTGGCTCTCTGAGTGAATAAGCTGTTTCTCCTCTCTTGTTGGAGGGAGTGAGGCTCCCCCCATGGGGTGAGGGGCGACGCCTCCCTAGGCGAGCATCAATTGAATAATCTACTAGTTTTAGTTTACCAACAATTGTATGGTCTGTAAGAGCTGTTGCTCAACGACAAGAGTCGTCGTAGCAGATGGCTTCGAGGGTGCGAGGGGAGGCGGAGCCTCCTCCCGGTGGGCTGGGTTGTTGTCTCCTAGTTATTGACTCATCGATCTGGTTGTGATTGCCATGGATTAAAAGAGAATAGAAAAACTAGTCGAGTCCCACAGATGACACCAAACTGATGATACACATATTAGTATTGTGCAAGATCAACAATTAAATATATGAAGAGAAGCAATTAATGAGCAATAAATAGGCAATCAATGAAAAAACAATTAATAGTAGCAAACACACAGATTTATAGTGGTTCGGTCCAGATGTCCTACTCCACTTTCAGGAACGGTAGCGGTGGCCAGAGATCTTTATTGATAAATAAAAGTCACCGGGAGAGTTACAATACTTTGGAAGAGAGAAATTAGGGTGGTGTAGAGAGGGCAAGAAGTAGAGGTCTCAATGTGATGCCCCTCCGTGTGGAGAGGGCTTACATTATATAGGTTTGCTGAGGCGGTGACATGAGAGGAGAAAGCACTTCCTCTTTGGTAAGTACAATTATAGTAGAATTTGATCTCCACGAGTGCATATCCCGATATTGTCTCCCACGTGCTCCTATTCCTTCGCACTTCCTAGATCTTGATCTAGGTTGGACTGGTTTAGAGTAGTAAATTGAGGAGGACAAAGAGGAGTCAGGAGAGCCCAGCCCTTGGGCGGCGCCCCCTTGGGTGTGTCTTTCAGGCATTGGGGACTTGGACCCCTTTTAGTGCATTGGGTCTTGGGCTTCTTTATCGGTAATAATGATTTTGGCTCTTCTTGATTTATTTTTATTATGGCCTGACCCAATTGATTTTGGGCTCGTCTTAATCTACTGCTGGTAAATGAGTCACTGAACTCTCAGGAAACTTCGCTAACCAAGAGGATGAGACCCAAACTCTATCCAGCCTAGCTTTGGTCGAGCAAGGAAGTGCACTCCCATTCCACCATGTATATAAATAACCGCGGAATCCCAAGCCCAAAAGATTGCAATCATCTACCACACCGTCTTTATTCTTTCGCCTGAAACAAAAAATTAAAAAAAGAAGAAAGAGCAAAGTTTCTAAAGGGGTGTCCTCTCCAATATATTTTTATTAAATTTCACTTAATTGTAGATGATCCACCATACATGAGTGAAATTCTTATAGTTAATTTAGTATCTTGACTAAATTTAAAAACTTAAGTCTTATATGAGGACGAGATAGAATACTTTAAATTATATATTTGGGTTTAATTTGGGGGTAAAAAAGCAGAATTCACCAAGTACTATTTCAAGGAAAAACACACATCATTTTTTTTTAAAAAAAAATAGAACTTTTTTTCATTTAACGGGTAATATAAAAAGGTAACAGTACCTAAAATCTTCCACCCAAAGAAATAAACTACCTAAAGAAAGTCGTTGCGGGAACATTTTATTGCCTATGAAATGTGCTGTGAGTGTGTTTGTGACCCCATTAACACAACTAATAAATAGAATACTCTCGAAGCTAATATATACTTGTGGCATGCATTAACATTTCTCAGTATATAGTTTCCGAATATTGATTTTTAACTTATAAATGTTTATTAGAAATGCAACCAAATCAGTTGAAACCAATGATTCCGGGATCCTCTCAAATTTCGGATGAATTTTGACTCAAAGCAATTTTACAATGAGAATTGTAAAGTATCGATATATTAGTTATTTCTTATGCCGGACACACTCAAAATCAAAATTCCAAACATAGAGGGGAGATGAAGAAATTTTAGTACCAGATGTAATAGGATATGTAGTGGTAGTGGTGGTGAGCGATTGTTGTAGTGGTGGGAGACGGTGATGATTGTGATGGTGATAGTTGTAGGATGACAACAATAATGGTGGTGATGGGCTTTGGGTGACGATGGTGGTGGTGGTGGTAGTGGTGGTGGGGGCGGTGGTAGTTGTTGTTGTGGCAAAGGTGATGGTTGGGTAGCAACAATAATGGTGGTGGTAGTAGTGGGGATGGTGATTGGGATGATGATAGGGCGATGGAGATGATGGGGGTGGTTATAGTGTTGATGGTGGTAATGGTGAGGTGGCAGTGGTGTTGGTGCCGGGGGAGGGGGGGCAGTGGGAGTGGTAATGGTGGGGATAGTTCTGGTGGTGGTGATAGTGGGAGGAGCAATTGAGATGGTGGTGATGGGGTGTTGCCAAACACTATTTTTTAAAAAATTACTTATGAAAAGTTATAAATCTTAGAAATACTTTTAAAAAATTCTCGTAAATAAACTCTTAATAGCATATTTTCTTATTAAATTTGGAGTGTTAACATTAGTCATTATATTAACTTTAAAATAAAATTTAAAGATATCTCAACTGCGAAAAAAAAAGTTATTTTATTTATTTTTTAAAATTTGAATTGTCTTGTACTTTATTAAATAGACTAATTATTGGCTATCCCTGAAGACACGAAATAACAAAAAAATAGTCAATAATAAACATATTTGTATTCAAGTCTAAAATTAAATCTCAAACATAAATAAGAGATAAAAGAATTAAGCACCAGTTGTAGTGGAGTGAGCAGTAGTAATGGTGGTGGGAGACAGTGGTGGTGGCAAGGGATAATGATATTTGTGGTGGGTGACGACAACCATGGTGGCGATAGCAATCGTGTGTGGCAACGGTGATGGTGGTGGTGGGTTTTGAATGATGATGATAGTAATGGCAGTCATGAGTGGCGACGGTGATAGTGGTTGACAATGGTGGTGGTGAGAAGACAACAGTAGTTGTGGTGGCAATGATGGGTTATGGAGGGGTGGGCAATGACGGACGAGTACTTTTGGGTGACAGTGTGATGGGTGATGGCGAATGGTGGTGGTGGTGGTGGTTGTAGGTATGGTGGGGGTGAGTAATAGTAGGTGGTGACCATGGTGGGTGATGATAGACGATAGTGGTTGGCGTGATGGAAGTAGGTGACAGTGGTTGAGGGTGATGGTGGGCGACGATAGGTAGTGGTTGGTTATGGTAATGGGTGGCTGTGAGTGGTGGTGGGTGCTGACAGCGGGCGACGGTGATAGTGGGATGATGGTGGTAGTTATAATAAATATAAAAATGAGATGACAATAGTGGTAGCAATTAATGGTGGGTGGTGGCAGTGGGGGTGTTGGGGGTGAAGGTGGTATCGTGGCGGTGGTGGTTAGGCTGTGGCGGTGATGGTGATGGGGGTGCCGGTGGTGGTGCTTGGGGTGGTGATGGTAAGGGTGATGTTGGGATAGTGGCGGTGGTGGTGGCGACAGTTGTGATAATTATGGGGCAGTGAGTGTGATGGTGGTGATGGGGGCAGTGGCAGCGGTGGGGGTAGGGGTGGCTGCACTAGTGATAGTAAAGGTAGTGGTGGTGGTGGTGGTAGTGAGGCGATAGGGACTGGTGGTGGTTGGGTGGTGACAATAGTGGTGGGGTGGGGGTGGGGTGGTGGTGGTGGTGGGGTAACGATAGTGATGGTGGTGGTGACGACGACAGTGGTAGTGGTGGGATGGCGTTAATGGTGGCAGTAGTGATAATAGTGGTGGTGATGGTTGTTGTGACAAAGATGGTGGTAGGGTTGTAGTAACAGTGGTGGTGGGATGACGACGGTAGTGGTGGTGATGGTGGGGGTGGGGGTTGGGGTGGAGGTGGAGGTAGCAGTGGGGTGGTGGTGGGGGTGGTTGTGGTAGTGGTGGGGGGTAGGACGATTTCAAACACAATTTTTTTTAAAATATTTTAAGAAGTTATAAGTTTTAGAAATAATTTTAAAAAGTTACCATAAACACACTCTCAAGTACTTATTTTTCCTATTAAATTTAAAATGTTAATATTATCTGTCGGATTAACTTTAAAGTAAAATTTAAAGAAATCTCAATTTCGAAAAGTAAAAATTATTTTATTTATTTTTTAAAATTTAAATTATATTATATTTTATTATATAGATATTTTAAAATCAAATTTTGTGTACAAGTGAATTTCATAAAACTCAATCATGGTTACATCACAGTCAACGCCAGGTAGAGTAATTGTTTTTTCTTTCAATCATGTTATTTTTTAACAATTTCTTACTCCGCGATTCATTACGTGGGCATTTTGAGACTTTTAATTTCAAAACATTACCGTCAGTGCATTATTGGGATTTTGACTTTAGTGATTACTACTGATTGTACTGGAGCGGGGGCCAGAAGGAATTAGGGTGTACTTATGTGATAAAAAAATGTACATAGTGTTGAAGGTGATACAAAGACTCAAATATAAATTGTTTACTTTAACCAAAAAAAATTAGAGTTACATTTCCTGTAGGGGAGATTCTTGCTCTTTAGAAAACTGTATTATTTGGAAAAGAAAATTGTTATTACAAGAAATTTTGCTAGAAGTTTTTTCCAGAGTATATTTTTAGGCTACTGCTAGGTGATTTCTTTTCATATATCTTTACATAATAGTATCGTTTGCTACTTATATATCTTATTATTAGAGTTTCATGGTGGTTACTTTCCAAGCTGATTATGTGGTCCTTTATTTCTCTCTCTCTCTCTCCAAAAATGGTTGTGTAAATGAGAAGAAAATTTTGATTTTTCTCTCATATTTAAACTCCATTTCGCTTGGCTCTCATTAAGCTACACGTCCCTTCTTTTCTTATGTAATTTTATTTCGAATCAATTAAATCTCGTTCCATGTTATATTCAATATATTTTATTTGAACTAATCTTAATTTTTTTTTCCATGTTTCGCAATTAAATTTCGATCACATTTATTTTAGTCACGCGATGTTCGATCGCATCATAATATACAAAAAATTCGATTATTTTGTAATTCAACCAAAATTAACTTAGATAACTAGATTTCGTGAAATGAATCCAACAGTGAGATCCGTTTCATCATCCGAGTTCTAGAAAAGGTTAAATTATAACTGATAATTACCATCTTATCCTTTTTAATAAAATTTTAAATTTTTCTAGGTTTTACAGCATTACAACCACATATTTGGACTCGTGACCTTGTATCAAAGTGAACTCAACATTGTCTATTAGAATAAAACTTTGATACTATTTATTGGTTTTGCATAGCAGATAATTAACACTAATAATACTTATTGGAAGATAGAAATTCAAAGATAGGAAAACAATAAAAATATGACACAAATATATAACGTGATTCGATATAATATACCTACCTTAATACACCGTACCTACATCCATGGACCAAGAAATTACATCGATATATTATTCACTGAAAAATTGGTCATCTGATAACTGATTGTATAATACATACCCTTATTTATAGAGATAAAATATTGTAACTCAAACCTATTCAGATACAATTTAATTTTTATATTTTTTATCACATGTCTAATATTTCTATTCATCGTACATTAAAATTCTTTCAATATAATCTTATTCTATATAGGATTCTCACATTGATTGCTCAACAAACTCTCATTCATAATAATTATAGAGTTTAAGTCAAATTTTAACAGCTTTTCTTAAACCAAACTTTTCAAATTTGATCATACCCAACATAGGGGTTAGCACACTTGATTATAATCCACCAATCTTTTCAAGTACTACGTGCAAACCTTGTGATGCCCTTAAAATCGGGGTCATTTGTGAACTTGTTGATCACTTGTCAACTTGTTGATCACCCACAAACCCGCAAAATATCTGTGGATACCGTATAACTCGATACCACGTCGTTTTGCTTCATTTATCGGAATCCATAACTTAATAAAATTCGAAGAAAGTCTCCTTTGTACGGAGAGTTGTACTCAAAACACAAACTGTGCAATCATACAACATTGACCACACCCGGTCCGTTTATTCATACTCATATGACAACATACAATTTTACATTAAATATAGTCCATATAAGTTCGATTACAATCATTTACATACATTACATGCCCAAAAACTAATTTACAACTTAGTTTAACAAAAATATAGTTTAAAATCTACATTTTGGTTTTTCTTCACTAATGAGGGCCCGAATGAGAGCCATCTATCAGCGCATATCCCGCACCTGAAATATTGTCCCCATAAAGAATGAGCCACGTTCAATAGGGTATCTCATAAAGAGGCTACTCCCCAACCTAGATGCATATGAAATGTTCACATGTAATTCAAAAACAACAATCACTTCATTTATGAATATGTAATTCAACAAAAGAATCCTCAATTACATGTCATGTTATGAGATGAGACTCATACATGCAACTTAACCCGAGTCTTTACCGGCTCCTTCAACACATGCAATGTCATGCGTATGAATCTGGGCATTACAAGCTCCCGTCATTGATGTTACACATCCAATGACCTTTTAAAAATAAACCATGTGTTTTTGTTGGGTATTAGAATTTTAGAATCTCACTGCCGGTTCCGTACACCGTTACATTTTTTTGGACTTGCACCTGAGGGAGTATTTAACTTTTCATGTTATACCGGACATAAGTTTTTTTTTTTTCATGCAATCGTGCAACTCAATCGGACCTAAATCTAACCTTTCCGAGTCCACGCCTCAACCTCCAAGAATGGTGTTTAATTCAAAAACATGCACACACACTCACACTCATGTCAAATGCCCACGAATGTGATGTTACCCGTGCATATGCAATGTAAATGTACAATTGCAATTCTTAACAATGTTCAATATGTCATGAGCACATTATGAACAATTCAATATCCAACAACCTTTTTCATTGTAAATTACGTCATAAGTATATAACCACCATAAACAACCTTAATGTCAATATATCATATGCATATACAAACACCAACTCTCCAGCATGTTATAACACAATCAATATAAATAACACACTTAATCCACATATGTACTTCATCAAACACATTCAAGACATAAATATAAATACATAACATGCCCAGTCAATACATTTCTCAAGAAATTACAAACAAGTAATTTTTAAATAACCAATTCATGCTAGAATTGATTTTAATTATTATCAATACCCAAGCATGTTATAACATTTTCAATAAAACCAACATATTACATCAACATACATTTTATTAAACACCTTCAAGGTACCAAATTATGTAACACGTAATCATGTGCAATTATCATATTTTTCGTAAATTTATCAAACAAGTAAATTCTACAAATCTAATTCATGCAAGACTGGTTTAACATATTTCTGTACCAATTTCTCATAATCTAGTTACACTGAGAGTATATCAAACAAGATAATTCATCTCAAGTCATGCTACCCATATCATATGGAATCCTAAGTTGAAAATAAACCTAATTAAAAAAAGAACCCTACATCTCGAAGCGTAAAACAACGGTAGAAAACTCCAAAGACCCAAAATAAGCTCTAATCCTTGCTTTCTCAAAAATTCTATTTTTTGTTCTTCGTCAAAACCTTCAATTTTTGGTAAGTAGGTGTAGCTCTCGTCGTGTAGATGAACTTTGATTCTTGGCTCGAAAAATTTCGACCAGTATAAAGTTGTAGATCGTAGAGAGAAGTTAGAGAATCCTCTCTTTTTCTTCTCTTCCTCTCTAATTTTGAAAATCTGATGGTCCTTGTTGAGCCACACATCCTCCATTCTCAGGTCCAATTTTGTCCCAAAATAATTTTTGAAATTTAATTTCATGCCTCGCTTATAGGTCACGTGACACCCGATCATCTTATAAAACAAAAAAATCTGACTCTCAAAATTCAATGAAAATTGACTAGGTAAACTAGATTTTGCGAGACGAATGCAACGGTGAGGTCTATTTTGTCATTCAAATTCTAAAAAAATTTGGATTTTCAACTTGTGCCATAGTGGTTAATTACCGTTTTGTCATTTTTTTTATAAAAATTTAAATTTACCCAGGTTTTACAAATCTGCTCTTTAGAGGCGCCACAACCCTCTCTGTCTTTTAAGAACCTGCGTCTTAGCCTACATCATTTGTACATCTCTGCCCACATCTTGTTTTTGAGAAATCTCAATGGCTGAGTGACTTGTAAGTCACAAGACACTACATCATTACTATTGAGTTTATGTCAACTCAATAACTCCCAAACTATTAGAATACCACAACTTCAACTCTAAGAGCCCAAAAACTTGAAGAAAGATCTTCAACACAACACATATAATAATTCTTGAAATCCAAACAATAAAGAAGGAACTTAGTCTTCCGTTTGATTTTAGACCAACTTTAAAATTTTTCTTGTGAATCTAAACAAAAATATGAATTGTACATATATGGCAAGAGAGTCTTCTTCGACATGAACACCAACTTGATCATTGGATTGTAAATAACTTGTTTTGATGTTTCCATCAGGATCATCAATCTAACTCTGATTGTTCTATCAGGATCATCAATCTAGCTCTGTCTTTCAAGATAGCTT